GTAGAATTTCTGGCCCAGTATCTTGATTTTATGTATCAAACTGATCCATTTGATTGTGGCTGCCCAATACTTTGGTATAGTTAGATGTTATTGCCCTGTTTAATCTGTGTTTTGTCTAAACCTGATGAACAATTAATCCTCGTGCTTTTGGACCGTTTGTAAGTTGGAGTTAGATATTGTTGCCCTTTTCAACCCGGTTTTGACCCATATTTTATTTCATACTAGGCTAAAGGCTTGCCATTTCTTTAACTAAGACATAAATATTATGAGCAAAAACAACATAGGGAAAGAACATGACTCTCATCGGATCCTGGAGATCATTGTTCATTACAAAACCCGCGAGTTCTTAGCGCCCGGAGCACCCACACACTTATTTTCAGTTACCACACCAAATGGGCTATAATTGTTAAGAAGAAAAGCTGCATGGTAGTGGCATATTTGAATTCTGACATTTGGGACTCACGACGAAAAAGTCTATCCAAGGCGGTGTCGACTCGATAATAAACATTGAGAAACCTGGTTTTAAAATTACTTTAAATCCAAAACTAGCCTAGAAATCATGAAACTTGGCATGGTATTATGACATGGCACCAACATGTTGTGGTAAAAAAAATTAGTCCAATTTGGGACAAGTTTTGGTATAAACTTCTTACAAACCGGAGCTTCTCTCAAAAAGCCTCATGGTTCCGAGAGGGAACTTGTCACCTATGTGTGCGAAATGACATACGCTGTCTCTTCCCGCCTTGATTTATTTTACAGAGGCAACATGCAACTATGCGTCGTACTAAAAATATGAAATTATTCAGGGTTCGTTTTGCCTTTTGATACATTATTTGAGTTTTCTAGGCATTTTGGAACATACTTTGATGTGTGCAATGGTCATGTGTATACTAGCCACCTATGTAATTGGATGTTCAATCTGTTTATGGAATCAAGTCCTTATAAGTTATAAGTACATATGTTGTTGTTTTATGTGCAATGACATCGCACATGGACCATACTAAGGAACCCGTCGGCCATAATTTCATCAATCATTGACAATTGTATACCAGCAAGCGTTTGCCCACAACACACACGGCTTATTAGCAACAATCGTCTGTGTTATTATCGGTCTTCACACACATTTCCAATTACGGGCCTATTTGCTGTGTATCACACACATCTTGTTAAGTTGAATCATTTCTTTTCTCTTGGATGAACGCAAATAGTTCATCAGAATGAAGTGTATGCCCTTTATCGCACACACCTTTATCCGGCTGACCGTTTCTGTTGTGTTGCCTAATCGGAAATAGTTCATTCGAGTGAACTGTATGCCGTATATCGCACACACCTTGATCTGGTTGACCGTTTCTGTTGTGTTGCCTAATCAAAAACAGTTCATTCGAGTAAACTGTATGCCGTATATCGCACACACCTTGATCCGGTTGACCGTTTCTGTTGTCTTTGCTCATCACAAATAGTTCATCAAGGTGAACTGTATGCCGTATATCGCACACACCTTCATCTAGATGCCCGTTTCTGTTGTTAAGCTCATCGCAAACAGTTGATTCGAGTGAACTGTATGCCACGCAACGCACACACAACTATAATCTGAAACATGTTTGTTGGCTATGCCATCGCAAACGTTTTGTATCTTTTTGATCATTTTATTACATCACCGTTTGCGATTAATGCATCGCACACAGTTTCGTTGAAGGGTCTCTGATTGTAATGTCACATTTGCAGCATCCTGCAGTAGTGACTTATTTGGTAGGAAACATGGCTCTCCTTTATAGAGATACCATGCATTCCAAGCGATTCTACAAGGGATGCCTCTAGAGAAAAGAACATGATCAGGTGGTGTGATATCCTCATCATCGATGTTCCATGATCAAACTCCTCCAGATTTTCCAATGCAAGGCACCACAGTTAATGTAGATTTACTAAATGCAAGTGCCAAGATCTTTTCTAAAGGATGTCTCTAGAGAAAAGAGCATGATCAGGTGGTGTAATATCCTCATCATCGATGTTCCATGATCAAACTCCTCCAGATTTGCCAATCCAAGGCACCATAGTTAATGTAGATTTACTAAATGCAAGTGCTAAGATCTTTTCTGATACCTCCTAGAGGAAAAGTGACTTTGCGAACCATGTAGATCAAAATATCAAAGGGATTGCTTCGTGCATCCAGTATAAATAGGAAGGACAGAAAGCAGAGGTGGTTATATCAGCGAGTAGCAGCTTTGCACCATCACCCTTAAATGCTAAAGTGAAGGCGATACACTTAGTCGGTGAGATTGCAAATCATATGCAGCTTCAAGACGTAACCTTCCTCATGGACAATGAAACAATAGCCAAGGCCATGGCATCAAGACAGATAAGATCCAATATAGGACATTCGGAGATTAAATCTCATCTAGCATATTTCCTTTGAGCCTCTGCCATTCTTGCTACCAAAGTGTTCCACACCAGAAGAGAATCAAATATCATAGTGCATAACTGCGCCCAGGAAGCCCACCATCTGAATTGAGAAGGTAGAAATAACTTCAAATGTTTATAATGCTGACCATACACGTGTTCAATGTCCCATGATTCATAGCCTATGCAATTTGGATCTTCATGATTTTGCAATCTTTTTATTGCGGGAAGAAAAAAAATGTAGGATGTTCATGAGCATCAATATATGGCGCCTCCCTTTTGTCCCAGAAAAAAAGGAAATCCATTATAATAGATTGGGCCTAAAAACAAAAGCCCATTGTAGTAGGGCCAGGGGCGGAGCTTAGTAAGGGCCCAACTGGGCCATGGCCCGCCCAGGATTTTTGCACACATATTTTTACCTATGCTTGCTACGTTGCCAAGCCCACCACTGGTCCACTGCAGTCCACCAATCACACTACACCGCATCTCCTTTACACGTTCGATCAAGCCTGTAGCCTCCGTTTCTACTGGCACGAGTATTACACTACGTCTAACACAGTACCACTGGTAGGCGTAGCCAGCAGAGGCGGCGAGGCAGTCACACATACACACGGCAAGGAGCAACTGCTTTCCGCTGGCACCCCCACTCACCGTTAGTTGGTGCCTACTCGCCGTGAGGTCCAGTGCTCCACATCACAGTAATTTGTTTTCCCAAATTCTTACTTAGCGATTTTTAAATAGTTTAAATTGCTTATCTCGTATGTGCCACGTAGTAGCTTAGCATTTTATCGCATAATTTATCCAAACGGTTATTAATTTTACAAATTGCAACGGCATACTATTGCCTATGATTTAGATTTTTTTTATATGAAAAGATTGTGCTCTCTTTAGTCGGGCCGCCCAACATTTTCTTCGAAGCTCCGCCCCTGAGTAGGGCCTGCGAGCAACAGCCTGTTATGATAAACTACAAAAGCAAATCTGGACCGTCTGCTCCCCAGGGTAGACCCACATGGGCACGCATCTCATAGCACCTCTCCTCCGCGCCGATATGGGTCCACAACACAAACCGGCAGACCAACGCAGCAAACACCGCCTCTTCGTATCTCACTGCCCTTCCAGAAGCTTCCGGAAGGATCTCCTCCCACCACCGCCCCTACCGAACTCGCGACTCCTCGCCGATCCCCTTCCCCAACCCTCTTTGGTCTCGGCAGCATTCCCGCCTGCTCGGGTCTTCTCGGAGCGCTTTCGCACGGGGACAGCGTGGCTGGTTGAAAGTTGAAACGCGAACGACTCCTGGTCCTCGGAGGGTGGTTGTCGGGGAGGACTGGGGTAGCGGCGGAGCTCCGGGAGACGATGGACGCGCTGGCGCAGCGGGTGAGCGTGCTGCGGGCCTCGCTGCAGAGCAGCCAAGGGAACACGGAGGGCATGGTCGCCATCCTCGGCTCATTCGACCAGCGCCTCTCCGAGCTCGAGGCCACCATACACCCCATCCAGGTCGTCTCGTGCCCATTTCGGCTTGGTCTCGACGTCTCGTCGAATTTGATTGGAGCCGCGGGAGCGTGCGGCGTCTGATTTTGGGTGGTCGTGCAGGTGAGGGCGCACGCGACCCAGATGGCGCATGAGAACATCGACAAGGCGATCAAGGTCGCCGATGACATCCTCGCCCAGGTCGTCATCGTCCGCGAGGTGCGTGAACGTGCTCTCCTTGTCCCCTTCGTTTTTGAATTGAATGCTCTCCATCCTCAACGATGCTCTGGCCTGCGTGCCTGATCGCAGGCAGCTTGTCCGCCTGCTGCTGCCCCGTAGAGGCGTAGAGTGTCTCCGTTATTTTATATAGTACGTATTGTTTTGTTTTGCCCCCCTTTGGGCTCTCTGTAACACTGTCGTTGTTCCTTGTTAAGTGATGAAACTGATGACCCCCGAGCCCAGAGGCTATAACTGACTCTACTATTATATATACAAAGGGCGGTGAACCTTTTGGTTTGGTTGGCAAGGAGCTGAGGCATTGCATGCATTGGGAGGGGATTGAGAGCGCCGAATTTGTCTTGCTTTGGCATTTGGAGGATGTGCTTGGCTGGTTTTGGACTTGGACTTTCATTAATAAGGATTGGTACGTGCAGATTTTACATTTGGAGGTGATTAAAGGCGCATAGATAATAGATTGGTGGTGAGATAGCTTCCATGCTGGTGTAGTTGTGAAGTGCATTTGTTCTTGTTTACTAGCAAGGGAATGATTAGCTTCGTATTAATTTCTAGCACTTTCTATGCAGAGATTTCTCTTTTTAGACAGGTAATCTCTGTTAAATTGGTTATAGTTGCAGTCTTGTACCTACGAATTTTGTTCTATTTTCGAACTATTTTAGACAGGTAATCACTGTTAAACTCGTTCATTACTTTGTTTGGAACTTATATTTGCATGTTGTCCTTTTGAGCTTTAGGCAGAAGCTACGATATTGAGGGGGCCCCATGTGGATCTGGAGAGCTACCTGAAAGCTGTGGGTCATCTGAAAGACGCTGTTGGTTTTTTCTCCTCGAGGGAGAACTTTACGAGTAAAGAACGATTTCTGAATGATGTAAACGTTCTCTTATCTAAGTCTTCTCTGATGGTTGAGGAAGAATTCAAGTGGTTGATGACAACATACAGGTTGATGCATCTACACCCATTTCTGAAATCTTAACTGGTTGGTTCCTTATAGTATATTGCTAGAGGAACAATTGCTGTATTTCCTGGACCTCTCCTAAGTCTCAACGATAATATATTAGTTCTTCTAATATCATTTTCCATCTTTGCTGTTATATCTCTTCTTTCAGCAAACCTATTGAGGGTGATCTTATATTGGGTTCGCCTCCAAAGCTTCAATGGGCGTCAGATGGCAATGCTGAAGCAGATGGACGAAATTCTGCCCATTCCGAGCATCCATCCAAAGACTTGGAAACTGCCATTTGCAGGACTCCAGCACTGATCCCCTCTAGAATATTACCCCTTCTTCATACTATAGCTCAGAAATTGGTCCAGGATGGAAACCAGCAGTCATGCTACAAAATTTACAGGTAGGCTTTGAGCTGGGGATTTAACATCATGATCTCATCATTGCCAACAGACTTTAATCTGATTATGTAAATGCTGCTTGCAGAAAACAAGACGGTCAGTGAATGTAGAGAGTACCTGAGTTATGGGAAATACATTAACAATGAAAAAATATGCAGCAATGAGTTATACTTAGTCAGGTTTTGGTCAACTTTCACTATGTTGCTTGAAATTTATTGAGTTAAGAAAATTCCCTACTTAACAGTATAGTTTACATTACTCTGCCATACTTATTGGTAGGAATGTTTTGCTGTATGAATGATCTTCCTTTTTCTTCCCAATTCCAACTTACATCTATTGTTATTTCTGACATTTTAATACTATGCAAAATCAAGCTCAGATTTCTTCTCTTCCTTTAGAGATGCTCGTCGTTCGGCATTAGAACTGAGTCTTCGGAAACTGGGAGTAGAAAAGCTTATTAAAGATGATGTAGAAAGAATGCAATCGGATGCTTTAGAAGCTAAAATTGGAAAGTGGACCAAGTATTTGCAAATTACAGTGAGGACCCTTTTTCAAATATGCTTATGCTGTATGTGCTTAGACATCCAACTAACTGTCTATGCTTCAATAGGTGAAACTCCTTGCTGGAGAACGAAAAATTTGTTATGAGGTTTTTGAAGGTATCAGTTTCAACAAGGATCAGTGTTTCACTGAACTGGCAGGAACTGGAGTTGCTGTTGCTAAAACTCTTCTCAGCTTTGGAGATGCTGTTGCTAAAAGTAAAAGGTCTCCTGAAAAGTTGTTTGTACTGCTGGATATGTATGAAGTAATGCATGAAGTTAGATCCGAGGTATGCTAAAGGCAGTGTGTTCCTGCAACACCGATATGGTATATATGTAGTATGCCACATATTTTGATCAGTTATAGTAGTTATTGGCCATATATACGCAACATTTCTAGCTTCTGACAATTAGCAAATGATGTTTTGCTTGGTTCTTCTAGCAGTGTTAGTGTTTGCAGTTGTTATTTCTGCGGCTATGCTGTCAACTGTGACCATTATGATATTGGCAAAACAGTAACGCCTGCCTTCTTTTGAATCTCATTTACCAGGTTGAAGTAATTTTTCAAGACAGTTTTTGCTCGGAGATGCGTGAGGCTGCATTGGGCTTGATGAAGCTCTTGGCACAGACTGCCCACGAAATGTTTGTTAATTTTGAGGAATTAGTTGAGAAGGATACTTCAAAGACTAACGTCCATGACGGAACTGTCCATCCTTTGACTATCCGTGTGATCAATCATGTTAAATTCCTTTTTGAGTAAGCATCACCCATTTCGCCTAGCTATTAAACTCTTGGACACACAGAGATTTATTTGACTTAGATGTTAACTAATATAGGGTCAATCAGAATGGATTTTTACTATTTACCTTTTGAGATGTATGGTCTATCTTGTGTGTATTAGTTGTGTTAGCCATGTGTTGTCCTGAATTCACATTTTGTTCCACCAAGCGAACACTGATTAACTGTACTTAATGTATAATACCAATCAATGGCTGGTGTATCCAGAAGTTTGAGAAATTTGTTGGTCCACACATTTATATATTTACTCAAGTTCTTAGTGTCTTCATTTATTCCACATAGCTTAGTAGCTTGTCATATACATCAATATTTACCATTTCTTCTTTCCGTGCCTAGGCACCACATGTATTTATTTCCTTAATAAACTTAGGTGATATGTTGTTCAACTATAATTATTTTTATTGAAGTGATTTTTAGTTTCTCAGTTTTTTCGGCAATCATTTTTTAAATGGCATGCTAACTGATATGTGCACTGATATTGACAGTTATCAGTCAACACTGAATCTACTATTTCAAGAATTTGAAACTGGAAGTGATACTGAATCCCAACTTGCAGTTGTTTTGACAAAGATAATGCAAGCCCTTCAGAACAACTTAGATGGGAAATCTAACCAGTACAAGGATCCTGCGCTGATGAGCATATTTCTTGCGAACAACATTCACTACATGGTTAGTTCTGTTCGCAGGTATGCTATGTTTTGTGTTTCAGGTTTACACTATCTTGTCCAGACAGTGTACCTAGCAAATAATTTCTTTTTGTCTCATCACAAGATCAGAAGCCAAGCATATACTTGGTGATGACTGGATTCAGATACATCGTAGGATTGTACAGCAACATGCCAAACAATACAAAATGGTTGCATGGGGAAAGGTTAGTGCTTCAGATCTGGAGACCGTCTCCATCCATCAACCGTCCTCTGCTCCTCTCCCCGTCGCCTAGTCTTGCTGCGGTGGTGGGGTTGGTCGTCGTTTTGGTCGTCCTGGCTATGGCTCATCATGGTGTCTCGCTTCCTCGGTCGTCCTCGGCAAGATCCGGGTTTTCCCCGTCGGTTCAGCTCCGACCGGCGAGAGGTCTTCCTGGTCGTTTTGATATGTGGTTTGTCTGGTCGTGGCTTGGGATGCTCCCCTCGATTGGTGCTTGTCCCCTCGTGGCCATTTCCCTTTGCGCCCGGGGTGACGGCCGGTCTGACAGTGTCGTGCTAGTCTCGTGCATGTGGTGCATCTAAAGCCTGTGGTTTTTGTCCAAAAAAAAGCCTGTGGTTTTTGTCCAAAAAAAAGCCTGTGGTGGTTTCGTCTGTTTAGTGCGTGTGCTTGAGTTGATTTCGTCGTTGTCGTCATGGTAGTCGAGCTTGGTCGTGTTGTAGCTTGCTAATGTTCAGGCTCTTGTGGCGGATATTCCTTTGCTTTCTTGCCTTGTTATGTATTGCTGTTCTAGATGAGTTAGGATTTGTTTTGGTCATCTTCGGGTCGTGGATTGCCAAGTCTCGATTGGTGATCCTTAGTCGTTCTAGTTTGGTCGTGTCGCTTGTGTGGGGTCATGCCTTTCTTTGGCGTTGTATCAACTTCTTCCTTAATGAATATACATGCAGCTCTACTTCATTGCTCGAAAAATTTCTTAACTGTTTTGCTTTTATATTTTACTGCTCGATGTTCAGATTAATGTTATTTTCCCCTGACAATGATGCTATATTTTGTCGTTGGGCACAATATTTATTTTGTAAAGTTTGAACATGTTAGAACTTTTGATGAAGTGTAAAACATATTGGCTTTTCAATACAGTACTGCTCCCATTGATTTGCAAAGGTTCACTACCTTATCCTGTAGATTAGATAGTTCCAAATTATTTTTCCTATTATATTCACATAAATGGAAATGATGAATAGGGAGGTGATTGATTCCGTTTACTCTGATTTCGTTGTTTAGGCTGTTCAGACGCTCTCCATTCAAGTTGCCAGCAGCAGTGGTACATCAGCATCGTCTGATCTTAGCAGCAGTGGAGTTTCAAGAGCTATGATCAAAGAAAGGTCAACTGCCATGGTAGCTTGTTGTGTTAATTTTTGAAGAAATAAACCAGTAATGGAGTTACAAAACTTTATGTTCTTTCCTTGCCAGGTTTAAGTCTTTCAATATGCAATTTGAAGAGCTTCGTGCAAAGCAATCTCTATGGACCATACCTGATCAAGAACTGAGAGAAACTCTGAGGCTTTCTATAGCTGAAGTTCTCTTGCCAGCCTATATGTCCTTCGTTAAACGTTTTGGGTATGTTAACAAACTTTTTCTTGATCTTGTTAGGCACTCCATATTATTATTCATTCAGTTTAATGGATATAAATGATAATCAAATCCTATCATAGTTGTGTTAAGTAGGGAAGAGAGGTGCGAGGATACTGTATGTTATGTTCCTGCATGTCGGAGCTGATCATGCATGATTGTAAAAACTATTTTTTTCTAACATATTAGTGTGGTTTTAAGAAAACAAAGAAAGAAACCCTAGCATAATTGTGTTTGACTTTGACCCCAGAACCTTAGCCCTGTATATGATGCTTTGTAAGTTTTTTTTTTCCAAAGCTTTGCCTCATCCATTCATTCAGAAGAATAAGAGAGTTGAGGTTTTCTTGGTTTTACAATGTCTCTAGCTCATCCATTTTCCCATCTGCTATACTAAGTTGTTGAATGACTCACAAATGATTGAATGGCAGCCCAATCATCGTTGGCTCCCCAGTCATTTCTCCCCTTCTATTTTGCGCATCATTGTCATTGCAATTCTTCATGCTGGTTCTGGTTTTATATAACCATACATCCATACTGTTGTTCTTACCTTTCAGGAATCTTGTTGAAAATGAAAAGAAGCCTCGTAAATACTTGAAATACCAGCCAGATGAGTTGGACCAGTTGCTGGGTGAGTTCTTTGAAGGACAACAATCTGTTGAACAGAAGAAGTAAGCACCGGGAGGCAGTAAAATGGGAATCCTGCTAATAGTTCTTGTAGCAAACTTCTGTAAAGATCTCTACAGATCGAAGCAACTAAACATTTTTTTACCAAAGACAGCAAGATGCTGTTTTCATTCACGAAGGAAGGATAAAAACATCCCAGAGGATAATACAATTTTTTTGTGTACGAGCTGAACCGAATTTACCAGCTATATATAGAGAGCTAAAAGACAGATGATGGCTGCGTTATTGCGCGCCGGTCCATTGGGCTCCCTTGAAATCAGCCCATCCCCACATTAAACTCGTCAGTCGTATATTGGAGAGCAACTAAATTTAGGCGCTTGATTGGCAACAAAATAGTATTGTATTCCTAGAGCCTGGGTTAAGAGTCCCTTGTTCCAACACTAAGAGCCATGCACGAGCGCTACAAACATAATAAAAATAGAACAGGAAGTTGGGCTAGCGCCCCATGAGTAGTATGACATCGATGCCAGCCGAATTCCCAGATTAGGACGGGAACTGAGGAAAACGGCTCAGGAACCTGGGGCCTGCCTTAGAGCATCTCTAATAGAAGGTGTAAAACAGGGTAAAATTTACATCTTAAAAAAATGTTTTTGCAATCTTCAAGAAAATGCCAACTCCAACAGAAGATGTAGATTGGAGATGTAAAACAGCAACTCCAATATAAGATGCAAATGGAGATGTAACCAATATAAGATGCAAATGAAGATGTAAGGGTATCTCCAACGGCAACCCCTAAAAAACCTCCTGCATCCGTCCACGAACAGGAAGACCAGTTCATGGACATGGATGCGGGAGGCAGCCATCCAACGCTAGCCGCATATATTTCAAACTATTTTTCAACAAATCGGATGAAATTCATGCAAACACGGGCATATTTCATACAAACATGACGGATTTCATACAAACACGATAGATTTAACTATATTTCATACATTTAAAACAAAAAAGACCCGCCCCTAAACTCACCCTACGACGGTGGTGCCCGGCGTCCAAGCCCGTGTCGTCCTCCTTCTGCCGTCTCCATGGCATCGGCGATAAGACCGATGAAGTGAAGGTGCGATCTTCGGCCAGGAAGAATGGAACATGGGAGACGGATCGGCCCACATGGGACACCAGGCCCCGCCGCCTCCCGTGGCATACTCATCCTCGGAGGAGTCTGTGCCTTGTCCGTCGCGGTGGACGTGAGGTCCACGAGGGAAATGGTGGCGCCTTGGCTGTCGTCGTCCACCAGGACGGTTGATGGTTCGTCGACGGCGCGTAGGACACGCAGCTGGCTATGTTCTCCATGATCACCTGCAGCTACGCCTCCATGGCTGCCGCTTCCTACCGAGTGGCGCCTTGAGCGCGGAGGGCATCGTAGATGGCATTCTAATCCGCGACAAAATTTGGATTCACTGCAGCCATGGCCGCTACGGCCTCCTAGCTACTTAACTAGCTCATTGATCAAAGATGGTTAAGTTTCCTGATCATAGACATGAGTTGTCATTTGATAAACGAGATCACATCATTAGGAGAATGATGTGATTGACTTGACCCATTCCGCTAGCTTAGCACTTGATCGATTTAGTTTACTGCTATTGCTTTCTTCATGTCTTATACATGTTCCTATGACTATGAGATTATGCAACTCCCGATTACCGGAGGAACACTTTGTGTGCTACCAAACGTCACAACGTAACTGGGTGATTATAAAGGTGCTCTACAGGTGTCTCCAATGGTACTTGTTGAGTTGGCATAGATCAAGATTAGGATTTGCCACTCCGTGTTTCGGAGAGGTATCTCTGGGCCCTCTCGGTAATGCACATCACTATAAGCCTTGCAAGCAATGCGACTAATGAGTTAGTTGCGAGATGATGCATTACGAAACGAGTAAAGAGACTTGCCGATAACGAGATTGAACTAGGTATTGAGATACCGACGATCGAATCTCGGGCAAGTAACATACCGATGACAAAGGGAACAACGTATGTTGTTATGCGGTTTGACCGATAAAGATCTTTGTAGAATATATAGGGGCCAATATGAGCATCCAGGTTCCGCTATTGGTTATTGACCGGAGACGTGTCTCGGTCATGTCTACATAGTTCTCGAACCCATAGGGTCCGCACGCTTAACGTTCGGTGACGATCGGTATTATGAGTTTATGTGTTTTGATGTACCGAAGGTAGTTCGGAGTCCCGGATATGATCACGAACATGACGAGGAGTCTCGAAATGGTCGAGACATAAAGATCGATATATTGGATGAATATGTTTGAACTTCGGAAGGGTTCCGGGCAAGTTCGGACATATATCGGAGTACCGGGGGGTTACCAGAACCCCCCGGGGAGTGTAATGGGCCTATTGGGCCTTAGTGGAGAAGAGGAGGGGCGGCCAGGGCAGGCCGTGCACCCCCTCTCTGAAGGAAATATGCCCTAGAGGCAATAATAAAGTTATTATTTATTTCCTCATATCATGATAAATGTTTATTATTCATGCTAGAATTGTATTAACCGGAAACATAATACATGTGTGAATACATAGACCAACGTAACGTCACTAGTATGCCTCTACTTGACTAGCTCATTAATCAAAGATGGTTATGTTTCCTAACCATAGACATGTGTTGTCATTTGATTAACGGGATCACATCATTAGGAGAATGATGTGATTGACATGACCCATTCCGTTAGCCTAGCACTTGATCGTTTAGTATATTGCTATTGCTTTCTTCATGACTTATACATGTTCCTGTAACTATGAGATTATGGAACTCCCATTTACCGGAGGAACACTTTGGGTGCTACCAAATGTCACAACGTAACTGGGTGATTATAAAGGAGTACTACAGGTGTCTCCGAAGGTACATGTTGGGTTGGCGTATTTCGAGATTAGATTTTGTCACTCCAATTGTTGGAGAGGTATCTCTGGGCCCTCTCGGTAATGCACATCACTATACGCCTGACAAGCAATGTAGCTAATGAGTTAGTTACGAAATGATGCATTACGTAACGAGTAAAGAGACTTGCCGGTAACGAGATTGAACTAGGTATTGGATACCGATGATCGAATCTCGGGCAAGTAACATACTGATGACAAAGGGAACAACGTATGTTGTTATGCGGTTTGACCGATAAAGATCTTCGTAGAATATGTAGGAGCCAATATGGGCATCCAGGTTCCGCTATTGGTTATTAACCGAGAATAGTTCTAGGTCATGTCTACATAGTTCTCGAACCCGTAGGGTCCGCACGCTTAACGTTACGATGACAATTTCATTATGAGTTTATAAGTTTTGATGTACCGAAGTTTGTTCGGAGTCACGGATGTGATTACGGACATGACGAGGAGTCTCGAAATGGTCGAGACATAAAGATTGATATATTGGAAGCCTATGTTTGGACATCGGAAGTGTTCCGGGTGAAATCAGCATTTTACCGGAGTACCGGGAGGTTACCGGAACCCCCCGGTGACCTAATGGGCCTTACTGGGCCTAGTGGAGGAAGAGGAGAAGGGGCCAAAGGGCAGCCGCGCGCCGCTTCCCCCCCAAGTCCGAATAGGACAAGGAAGGGGGCGGCGCCCCCCCTTTCCTTTCCCCCTCTCCTCCTTCCCCTAGTCCAACTAAGGAAGGGGGGGAGTCCTACTCCCGGTGGGAGTAGGACTCCTCCGGCGCGCCTCCTCCTAAGGCCGGCCGCACCCCCCTTGCTCCTTTATATACGGGGGCAGGGGGCACCCTAGAGACACACAAGTTGATCTACGGATCGTTCCTTAGCCGTGTGCGGTGCCCCCCTCCACCATATTCCACCTCGGTCATATCGTCGCGGAGTTTAGGCGAAGCCCTGCGCCGGTAGAGCATCATCATCGTCACCACGCCGTCGTGCTGACGGAACTCATCCCCGAAACTTTTCTGGATCGGAGTCCGGGGATTGTCATCGAGCTGAACGTGTGCTGAACTCGGAGGTGCCGTACGTTCGGTACTTGAATCGGTAGGATCGTGAAGACGTACGACTACATCAACCGCGTTGTCATAACGCTTCCGCTTATGGTCTACGAGGGTACGTGGACAACACTCTCCCCTCTCGTTGCTATGCCATCACCATGATCTTGCGTGTACGTATGAATTTTTTTGAAATTACTACGTTCCCCAACAGTGGCATCCGAGCCTGGTTTTATGCGTAAATGTCATATGCACGAGTAGAACACAAGTGAGTTGTGGGCGATACAAGTCATACTACTTACCAGCATGTCATACTTTGGTTCGGCGGTATTGTGAGATGAAGCGGCCCGGACCGACATTACGCATACGCTTACGCGAGACTGGTTTCACCGTTATGAGCACTCGTGCTTAAAGGTGGCTGGCGGGTGTCTGTCTCTCTCACTTTAGCTGTATCGAGTGTGGCTATGCCCGGTCCTTGCGAAGGTTAAAACAGCACTAACTTGACGAACTATCGTTGTGGTTTTGATGCGTAGGTAAGAATGGTTCTTGCTAAGCCCGTAGCAGCCACGTAAAATTTGCAACAACAAAGTAGAGGACGTCTAACTTGATTTTGCAGGGCGTGTTGTGATGTGATATGGTCAAGACGTGATGCTATATTTTATTGTATGAGATGATCATGTTTTTTAACCGAAGTTATTGGCAACTGGCAGGAGCCATATGGTTGTCGCTTTATTGTATGAAATGCAAACGCCCTGTAATTGCTTTACTTTATCAGTAAGCGGTAGCGATAGTCGTAGAAGCAATAGATGGCGTAACGACAACGATGCTACGATGAAGATCAAGGTGTCGCGCCGGTGACGATGGTGATCACGACGGTGCTTCGAAGATGGAGATCACAAGCACAAGATGATGATGGCCATATCATATCACTTATATTGATTGCATGTGATGTTTATCCTTTATGCATCTTATCTTGCTTTGATTGACGGTAGCATTTTAAGATGATCTCTCACTAAAATTATCAAGAAGTGTTCTCCCTGGGTATGCACCATTGCGAAAGTTCTTCGTGCTGA